TATGTATGTATGTATGTATGTATGTATGTTCAATATACACGTTAGTATTCTAATGTCTAAACTTGTTACTAAAATTTGTTACTAAAAGTACTGGCGCGTATTTTTATTTTACATTAAATTTGATATACATATTTGGATTTGGAATTAATTAATAAGCGAACATTATAATAAACGTAATGACGTGCTAGTATCTTTTGTAACCGCTGTAATTTGCACGTAGCAATATCAGAAGCAAAATTCAGTAAATTAACACTAATTCTAATATCCAAAGAATAAATTCATCGTTCAAGGAATAACCAGATAATAACCAGAATATGCGAATAACCAGATAATTGCAGACCAATCAAATCGCTCGCCGATCGATGGTGATGCGTATTGGAAATTTGCACTGAATTTGTCGAGGAATCAACTCAATATGAACTAGACCTTACATAAAACGAAAATACAATTCGTCGTTTCTGAAGTATCGAAAAATCGGCGGATATTTCCACGGCGGCTTAACATCACCTAGGGACAGTAGGGACATGGAGGAGGTCATGCTCGTCAGTGGTGACGGAACAAGTGTCTGTGTACAAGATGGCGACGCCCGGGGCCTTAACTGTCGTGAAAATCGCCAGGAAGTAGCCTGTAAACGGAAGCCGCGCGGTGTCGCAGCGAGCCGCGGATCCCCGCTCCGAAGGATGTGATCCGAGGAAGAAGAAGAAGAAGGCCGAGTCCGGGCCAGAGGAGCCTTTTTCTACACTGCCACGAGGGAATCCGGATTATCCAACTTCCTCGGACCAGTATCGTGATCGTCTTCGTGGCCACGCCGACGATGGAGTCCAAGGAACGCTACCAGGAACTCTGTCGACTTTGCGCATCCTACGACGCCGTCAAGATGGACATCTTCGGCCAAGAGGGCAAGAGCAGACAGCTCGTTGACAAGATACAAGCCTGTCTGCCGTTTAAGGTTCGTCTATCATTCGTTGTGCGTCAAGTTCCTTTTCCTTTCGTGTCAATTTCGTGTCTTCAAAATGCTCTCCGTCCAACGAGAAACTTGCACTTCAATTTGATAGTCCGTTCACGTTTGTTGGAAATATATTGCATCAATACTTTTTCTGTATTATATTTCCTTCAAAATGTGTTTTTTTTTTTTTTTTTTTTTTTTTTTTTTTCAATGATGCCAGATCGGATGGCATTGCTTTTGATCTCTCGCATTTTCGATTTTAAAAGTGTGACCCACATGTCATTTTGTAGATGATTCTTGTTAATTTTTGTTTTGTCAATTGCTTTTAAATATGTTTGTTAATTTTCTTTTTTAGTTTGTGTAGCTTAATTATTTGTTTAAAAAATCTGTGAGTTTGTTATTAATTTTGTGTTTTGCCGAGTTACGTTTTATTTTCGGAATAATATTTTTTTGCTTTAATTGTTACATTTTTGTCATCTCAATTGAATTATTTTTAATAAAGTTTTTAAAAAATTGTTCGTTTAAAATGTATTTTTTTAATTTGAAGAATGTTTGTTTTCTTTGTTGCTGTTTAGCTTACTATTTTATAAATTAGAATTAATGATTTTTATTTAAAATTTGTTTTTTTCATTATGCATTTTTATATAATTTTATATTTTATTATGTGAAAATAATAGTTTTTGCATTGAGTGTTTTGATGTATTATCATGTTTGAATAATTTGTGATATATATTTCAATGTATTTAATGTTTTTTATCAAATTCTTAAATATATGATATATTTTTATGTATATCTAAAATAATTTTTATATCAATTAATTTTCAATTGATATGTTGATATAACATTTTAAAATGTTATAAACTATTTTAATTCTTTAAGTTCTACGTTATTGCTATATCTTCCAATATTTATTTTCTTGATTATTTCATTGATTATTTTTCATACATAAAATTTTTTTAGTAATATAATCTATTTTTCAATGAAATTTGTCTGTATTTCAAAAGTAATTTTTTAAGTATACATTAATATATTTTAATTACTAAATATTTACAAAATTATATAACTCTCAGATGTATTAATGCATTTTAATTGGATCTTTTTCATATTCATGTTAGAATGAATAATAATGACAATTTTATATATAATTATTAATGTTTTAATAAAGTAAATTATGTATTAAAATGAAATTTTTATTTCTTAATAAAGTATATAATCTCTGTCATTATCAATGACAGTTTGCCATTCTATCTATAAATTTTTAATCTCCTTTTTGTAAAAGAAGATTAGTTCCATCAAATACAAAAACCTTTTTCTTAAGGATAAGCTTGAAGGAGTTTGTTCTGCTTTTAAAGAAAACTATTGCTCAGAATATTTCATGTTATCATAAAGGATTTATCTATTTTTTCTAGTAACAATTCTAGTTAGAAAGAGATCATTATATAATATGATGAGCAGATATGTAGAAACCATCTGTCGTAGATCCTTATTGGCCTCAGATAATTCATGTGGGACACTTATTCCTTGTCTATAAATCTTACCAATTTCATATAGATGCCTTTGTATAGTTGACCATATAGACTGATAATTCTTGTACAGTTAACCTTGGATCAAACATGAGATAAGGCAGCATAATTACCAACATTATATCTTCTGAACTAATACTGGCATTTGTTGACTTGTAACACATTTTCATAAGTATCACAAATTTTCTTTGTTCTATCTGTTGTTAAATTCTTCATGAAAATGAAAAAGCATACAATGATAACTATGATTTTCAAAAAGTACAATCTACCATTTTATTATAGGGCACTTACAGTCTGCTTTATTAAAAATTATAAACAAATACTTATGGGTATCCTTAATATATTTTTATTTGTATTATTTATATTATTTATCTTATGTTGATTGTATTTTAATGACTATATGATTTAATTCATTAAATTTATTAATTAAGTAAGGATGAAAACATTAACATTAATATTTAATTTCAGATTGCAGAAAATGATCGACTACCAAAATGCCTGTGTTATAGGTGTATGTACAATTTGGAAAATTTCTATGATTTTAGAACAGCATGTGTTAATGCAGTTGCTCTCTTGGAAAGATGCTTATCACCTTCAGGACCGGTAAAATAAAATTTTCCTTAATTATTTAAAAAATTCGTTAAATGTTTTTAATTTCAAATGGTTAAAAAATTTTTTTGATTATTTAGAATGAAGATGTTACTACCATCTTGACATGTAGTAATGATTCAGAGTTCTTCAAAGGAAGAAAAAGTATACCAGTCTTAATTCCAGAAGCTCCTATTGTAAATCCAAATGCTGCTTTAGGCACACCACCCAGATTAAATTCTGATGGAGAGGCTGACCATGAGATAGAAGAAATTGATAATAGTGGCACAGATGAAGGTACGTTTTTATTTTAATATACAAAAACAGTTTGTTAAAAAATAATCTGTTATTTTATTTTTGTTTTTTCTGTTATTTAAGCAACAGTTATGGATGATTCTGAAGATCATCATTCAGAGGAGTATGAAATGGATATGGAAACAAATCCTAGTGATTTTTTGGAAATGACTTCAATAGTTACAGAAGAACCTGAAGAATCAGAATTGAAACATCAGGATATTTCTAGTAACTTACCAGAGGTATATTATACTTAAGTGTAATTAAAAATAAAAATTAGATGTATTCAATGAAATCTGATAATTTATATTATTACAGCACACATCTCAACAACATGAAGTTTATGTTTGTTCCTTGTGCAACAAAGCATTTAGTTCAAAGGGTCATTTGTCCTTACATGCACGCATTCACGTTGGTGCGGGTGACGTGATTGGCGAAAAAGTTCTTACAGATGATCATACATCATATAAAAGGCCCTACCAATGTGATCTTTGTCATAAATCTTATTCCACTGCAAAACATCGTTGGGGTCATGTTTCTACAACTCATAGGTGTGTTCTGTAATTTTTATATTTTTGTTTAACAGTTCTACATGTTTTTGAAATGAACATGAAAAAAATCTAAAGTCAATAAAAATATATAATATATATAATTTTTAAAAAGGCTAAGTTACTTTGAGGAGGCAAAACAAAACATTAATTTTAAAGTATAATATAAGAATATAAATACCATAGTAATAAGTAATAAGATATATGTTAATGCCATAGTAATAATGATAGTAATAATAATGGTATAATATACCTGTATTAGAGGTCATCCAGCAGTGACATGCGGTTATTGTTCTCGGATTTACTCAACTCGAACAAATTTAGAAGAACATATAAAATCACGTCACGCTGGTCTTCCAGCACCTACAGAGATTCCACTGAATAATGCCTATCAGCCGGAAAATAAATATCAGTGCAGTGCTTGTGGGAAGATTTGCATAGATGCCATGGAACTGAATCTTCATGGTAGAATTTGTACTGAAGGACAAAGATTAGATCTTCCAAGGAAAAACGAGATTAGGGATAATAAAATTGTAGATAGTTCCGAAGTTTCAAGTATTGGAAGTGACGATGATGGCAAAGATTATAAGTAATAGGATTAATTTTATTATAAAATGAAATACTTCACAATTTTTTATTGCGTACATTGTTTAAAATTCTTTGTTTAGAAGTGCGGAAGCTAAATTGGCAAAAAATCCTCAGTTAACAATTTTAAAACAAGCATTAACAAAAGGAGATAGTCTTAAGCGAGATTTTGAAGATAAATTTACTTCAAATTGCAAACCAAAAAAATTGCCAAAAACAGGTAACTTAAATACGAAATAAGATATTATTCATAAAATGGAACAAGATTTAATT